ACTTCTATTGTACTGATTTCAATTCACTACTCAAAATTCACTGAAATAAGGGGAGAATCGAGCCTATTAAGAATGAGAAAGTCACCCTGCGAAGGTTACCATTTTATATGTTCTCTTTTTTTTGTATTTATGCATACCTTTCAAATGTCAACTATAATAGGTCATCGAAACAAGACGCTGAAAGACGCTGACATTAACAATTAATTTTACTAACACTTTGTGGGTCATTCTATCATTCCAAATGCATGATTAGCCCTTTTGTTATATTCATTTATCACTTCTATCGCAATCACTGTTATCTTTCCAAATACAAGAAAGCAAAAACAACTATTATTTTTGGCTTCTCATGTAAAATCTCACCTCATCACCACGCAAAAAAGCGAAGCGCGGTCATAGTGCGTACCCTCACATTTCATGGAGAACAAGAATACTTCGGACCAGCGATCCACGAACATTCTGGTTATTTAATATAGAATCGGCGATAAAATGTTGATAATATGAGGTAGGTTTATTAGTGACGAAAACAAATCGTTTTATTCTTGAAAAGTAAACCATGAAATAAATCATATCATCCTTGGTTATTCCGATTTTGGTGTCGCATTTTTTTGTTCACATGCCAACCGATGCATTTGATATATATTACCGTCCTCTTCTTAGTCCATCTTTTTTCATAAAGTAACACGGTCAGCTAATTGAAATTATTCACGTATTTTAGTGATATATTTGATTAAATTTGCCACTAAAATTCATGTTTTCGAACTTTTCATAGTTTATAAATACAATATGCGACACTGCAAAACAGATATAGAACCAATAACTTTTGGTGATGGAGCATCCATCTAAATGAAGAACAGTTGGAGGATTGGTTCACGGGGGTTAGAGCAAAAGATTCAATCTTGGAAATCTTTTGATTTCGTCACCATTTCTAACTAAATACGTTCTACTAACTAGTCGATCCAGGCGAATATTCGCGTCGGAATGCCACTTTGCGATAGAAACATGGAGGAAACGCCAGTGCTCAATTTATATTTTGTAGGCAAATTTCCTAGTGACGGGATTATAGTCCAAGTTTCTTGGTTCTCGCACTTTCGGCATTGACGATTTTTAAAAATTTAAGCAATAGATCTAAAAAAAAGAGCTGTTTTATCAGTGAATTTTATCAATCATGAAGGAAATTAATCGATTAAAACGCCAATATTACTTTTTTCAAATAATTTTTTTAGCTAATATTTCGAAAAGATTAATCATCTAAACTTATTTCCTTTTTTTTAATTTTTTTGACTATAAACTGTCATCTCTGTGAAATAAAATGTGAATTTTTTTTAGATTTCCAGCATCATTCCAAGTGATAAATATTTCTTCCGTGTCGTTTTTTTTATTACAAATCACACTTTTTGTAGTACTGATTTGGATAATTAGATGGTAATTCCAGTAAATCGATATTATCTCTTATCAATCTAGCATCTTGAACGAGTTATAAATCTAATTTCACCATAATAGAGATAGATTGTAGAATTCAAATTTTTCCTTCCTTTCTTCCATTTCCGCTGAAAGAAAAATTAATTATAGATTCGTTGCAAAGACACCAACTTCAATGATCTAGCAGCTACCAATTGTCTTAATTATGACCAGTTTTTTATTGCCATTATTACGCAATGCATTTCACGTAGTTCAATTTTTTCAAGTATCTTTCACCATTTCTAATTAAACTTGTTTCCGGAAACTAGTCGATCTAGGCAAATTTTCGCCTCGGAACGCCACATTGCGATAGAAGCATGAAGGAGTCGCCAGTTTAATTCAAATTTTTTAGAAAGATTTCCTATTGGCGGGATTTAAACTATAAACTATTGTCTCTGTGAAATAAAATATGAATTTTAAATATGAATAAATATGAATAAAATATGAATATGAATTTTTTCAGATTTTCAGCATTATTCCAAGTAATAAATATGTCTTCCGTGTCGTTTTTTTTTTTAATCATAATGGCGAGGTTTTCGCCAAATACTGGCAGATGGTAATTCCAGTAAATAGATATTATCTTTCACCTATCAAATGTCAAAACGGGTTGGTTATAAATCAAATTGCACCGCAATAGTTTGCAATAAATCTAAATTGCTAAGTTGTTAAACTTTCAATATTAGACTTTCAAATTGTTAAACTTTCAAACTTTCAATATACCAAAAAACATATAAAATTTTTTTTTTCATTAATTAGTACTTTTGCAGTTGTTGATTCACTTATTTAGTCATTATTTCAATTGAGAAAATTTTTTTTTTCATGTTAATTTAGATATGAAATAAAATACTCGATTTAAGACTTATTTGAAGTCTTAAATCGAGTGTTTTATTCCAGATAAGTCTTTTTGTCTTTTTTTACAAATCTCACAAATAACTTACAAATCAAAAACTTCAGACTGACGGCCGAAAGAAAATGTGCTGATAAACAAGGAGATTATCAAAACTTTTAGTACCATAACATCAAGGCTTCGAAACTACAAATGAGAATTTGCAGTTTTAGCTTTTTTCCTTAGATTCTTTGATAGAGGATGAAGAAAGGTTTTATGTTTGTTGTGCCGAAAAGTTACGTATTACATATAATTTTTGAATTAAATCAAATTTAGTGGTTTCATTTGGTGATTAAAAATTTTTTTCAGCAGTATTTAGTTGTATGAGATTAGTAAAATTTTTTTAACCTTTATTAATATTATTAATATTTTTATAAGTCGTTTATTGGCTTTTTATTTTTTTGTTTGGTTTAGCGAAAACTCGATTGCGAAAAGCGAATTTTCCTTGAGCATACACCATTATTTTAATATTTTTTTCAAAATTAATTCGCAATTTCGGCCTGATTTTTGGCAAATAAATTAAAATTAAATGTTGAAATCTATTTATAAAAAAAATATGTTGAAAGATTAAAAAATTAAAATTTATATATAAATTTGGATAAATTTATAAATATATAATTTATTATATAATTATAACTATATTAGAATTATAGTTATAATTTAATATAATTTATTTATAAAATTTTTTACAATATTTTCAATTTGAATTTAATTATGCGCAAATAGTGATAATAATAATTGTTAAATGCAATTTTTATTGCTGTTTTATTAAGAATAGTAGGTAATGAATGATAATTAATCAAACATTAACAATGCATTAACTGAATTTGTCTTTCAAAAATCTTGACGATGCTGGTGAACCACTCATTTCTGTCGGCAAATGACTCTCTGGCAAAATTTATATGGTCCGACAAGTCAGTGGAGCGAGTTTGATTAGAAATGGTAAGGAAAAAAAATCTTCTTGATGCTTCTATGGTGTAACATTACTATTGCCTTGCGCTTTTATTATTGTTTTTAAAGACGAATGAGTTGAATCGCTGAAAAAAGTCTTTCGAAATAATAAGTCAAAATCAAAATATCAGAACCTTTCGCTATAGAATCAATTGGAAAGCCAGTCTTTCCCAGTAAATTTCAAAAGTTTTATTTTAAATTTGTATCGTTCAATTTTGAAACTTTCATTTACCTATCATTAATTGAACTATCAATTGAAGATCGAGCTTGAGCCAGAAATTCGAGCTTAATCTTAATCTTAGCTTGAGATAGAGATGAAACTTGGGGTTAAGTTTAACATGAACCTGAACCTAAATGATCTAAATATAATTTTGAGAGCTTTTCAATAGGTTCAATCGGATGATTTAAAAAATTTCAATTTATGTCGATTTATATCAAATCGCATCGAAATTAATGATAAAATTTTATTGAAATGAATTATTTGAAACTCACGCAACTTTTTTCTATATTCGGAAAATATAAAAATTTATAGAAGAATATCGCCTATGTTGCACAAATTTCATATTTCAAAACATTACAATATTTCATCAAATTTGCGAAGAAATCTTCAACTTGTCAACTTTTTTAACTTATTTTATTATACAAAAATTTAAGATAATGGCACAAAAAAATGAATTTAAAAAATTTATCAAATTTTTTTAGATTTTAGATTTTGTTAAATTTTAATAAATTTAAATTTTTTTATACTATAAAGCACTGAAACCAAATGAAATTTGGCATTTCGCATTTTTATATGAAATTTTTAATAAAGTATTTTAGTTTAAAAGTTCAAATTCCAAAGTTTAAAAACAAAATAATGCTAATTTAAAAGGCAGTAAAAGAGGAGAGGGAAAAGGGTGAGGAGAGGGTGAGAGGAAGGATGGGGGCTAAAGTGGGTTGTTGCTCGCATTTGGAAATGCCAAATTTGTCATTTTTCTTCTTCTAAGTTTGTGAACCTTCTAAACCCCTTTCTCTTTCAAAAATGCGAATGGCTTTCGCGATTTACACCTTTTTTAATTCCTTGACAAAATTTGTCGGGTCCGGCGAAAGCTAATTGAATAGAGCAAGAGAACAAAACTACTGAGTTTTAAAGAAGTCAACATTCACGAATGGGGAGCGCCGCTCTTCAAAAAAATATTACCCTAGGACAAGTATAAATAGCATCGTCGTGATTATACCCATTAATTTTCCTATTCTCTTGTTTTCCTTTCAGACAATGTTAATGTTTTCACATTATTGCTCTTCCTTCACACCCTGCCGCCTTACCTTTCCTACAATTAATTTAGGATCTATGATCCTGTTATCTTTACGTTAGAAAGATAAGAAATTTCAGTTAATGATTCTCGTTCGATGGATGGATTTCCAATTTTATTTCTATATTCCTAAATAAGGAAGATTTCTAACGATTTTTCAACATACTGAAGGAAAATAGTGCATTAATTTCTTTAGAATAGCATACATATATATATATATATATATTATATTAAGTTGCCAAAGCCAGATCTGAAGGGATTAATGGTATTGAAAAAAAAGATAATTGAAATAGGACGATCTTTTCGTCTCCAAAGTACCAATTACAACTTAAGCAAAAGATATATATTATGAAGGGAGTATATACCTTTGAGAAAAAAATCTATATGGAAAAATGTGAAAGTCATTAAACCACCTATACTTTATTATCAGTTGCAACACGCACAACATTTGGATCGCCTCCAGCGATATCAATTTCACCTATATCGGAATTAGTTACAGTATTAGTATTCGGTTGACTTTTCGTTTCTTCACTATTACGATATAGAACATAATGTTGTATAATGAATACTATATCGAAAAGCATTGAGACACATCCAAGCCCAAATTTAACAGGATTCCCCGTAAAGACGCTCCAGTCATCTGAAGTAAAAAATAAAGATGCGAATATAACAAATAATTAATAGCACTGTTATTTAAATTTAATATAATTATTTCTAAAAAAAATTCCATTAAAATACCTGTATTAGCACCCTGAAGTATTATCTGACAAATATCCATAGATCCTCCAAGAAAGTCGAGCAAAACATTTCCCACTGACCAGCCTGCGGTACTTTTACGACGAAAATTAAAGAATGCCTAAAGAAAAAACGAAGATAATTACTCCTTGTGGATGCCCTCTATTTATAATATTTCCCGTGATAATGGTGATAAACCTTATTTGCAGAAAATAATTAAGGTAAGTCATAAAAAAAACCTGTGGAAAATATTTCGAACAAGTGACAGCCATTTTGATATATGATAAAAATGTGATAAATTGCAAGGCGTTAATAACGTCAAAGAAAGTGAGACAGAACGAAACCAATGCAAAACCGATAAAACTACTTGAAAGTGCCCAGCAAGTATAAGAAATTCGTTGTGAACCACGCTAAAATTAACATATTTCGAATAATATTCGAATGGCAATATATATATTAAATAAAAAATAATAATTTTGAAAGTGATTAAGCGAAAAAAAAAATTCTCTAAAATAGAGCTTATTTTGTTGTTCGCTTAATGGACAAATGAAAAAGCCAATAATCTATTTCATTTTTCAATGAAAAGCCATGAAATTTACAAGAATAAAAAATAAAAATAAATTATAAGTTATAAATAATTTAGAAGAATTAACAATTAATATTTGAAAATATTATTATAAATACAATGTATAAAATAAAGATAATATAAAAATAATAAAGTAAACCTCATAAATGAAGCATTGGAATGCAGTAAAAAGACAAATAAGCAATGCATGAACGGCAAAAATAACATCGTTCAATAATACAGGTATGAGACAATGGGGATTGCGTTGAAAATAGATTTTCTTAAAAATATTTATAAAAAATAATTTCGTTTTTTCAAAAATAATTAATAATTTACAATTTAAAAAAAGGGATGAAAGAAAAAAACTTATCAGACTTACTTGAATATTTTTATCAAAATAAAAAAAGACATTATAAACCGAATAACAAGCGAAACCGATAATATTCAGAAAGAGAAAATCGAAACTCAAACCAACAACACTGAAAAATACAACTAAAATCACTAAAATTCAATAGAATTAACAATAAATATTTAGAAATCTCTTCAAAGAAAGCATAGGGGATTGAAAATATTTCTTAACAATACATATCTTTAAAGCTTATCTTTGATAAATTCAATTTTGTATGATAAAAAATTTCAAAAAAAGATAATTTCTCAAGTTCATTTTTACCTTCGCCGTTTGAAATTTAATATAATTTGTGGATAAAACGAAATGCTCCATGCGAAAAAATAAATCCAACCAACGACAATGATTAGCACCGAAAGGCTTTCACTATGTATAACACTTATTACAGCGAATGTTCGATTTATTTCGCTGAAAATTCATTCCACTTCAGAACACGATAGAACACCAACCACCCTTCTTGATCTTTTTTTATCCAATTTTGTTTAATTTTTACCCTTCTTCTAAATTATTCACCATTATTCACCATTTGGCTGATTTTATCATTAATCATGATAAGACTGGAAGCCTATTACATACCTAAATGGACAAATTTCAGGTGAATCGGAATATTCACATTTTTTAATTTCAAGTAGAGCACGACTCGTTATTTGAATACCAGTTACGCTGACGTTTGCTGACCGAGCAATTTTATCAAGAACAACAACATTTGGTGTCGCATCGAACCAATCAACCCTTTTCAATGTTAAATTTACATCAGTTGACAAATTCGCTCTGAAATTTTATTAAAATTTTATAAATTTTATTTTCATCTTATCATTTCAAAGATTTTAAACTTTCACTTTCCAAGAGAGAATTTGCTTTCGTAAGATAAGAGTTCAATTCACTGATAATTAATATTAACAATTCAACAATGAAAAGAGATTCTGCAAGTTGGTAGATAATTAATAAGATAGGATAACTTAATATATTATCTTTAAGCTCTCAAAACTTAAAAAAATTACTTTGAATTATTCATATTTCATTTTAATTTTCTAGTTTTTCGATAAGAAAAGTTAATTAACAACCTGATTTTAAGAGGCGAATGATAAGCAAATGATATTTCTAGATTTCTTATCAGTATTTCTTTAGCAATTCTCTTCAAATTTCTGTTCTTTTTTCTTTTTATGAATATTTCAGATTTTTTATTTTATTTTTTTAGTTGGTTCTATTTAATAATTTACATATAACGGTCGTAGCCGAAATATTTATAAACGAAACACCTCTTCTCAAATTAAATCTTAAAGAGCCATCTCGGATGTATAAAATGAAACATAGAAATTGCACGTTTAGTTTCTTATCAGTGTAAAGAATATGGAAAAAAAAATGAACGCACTCTGTGTGAAGAACGAGTCGTTTAATCTGGCCAAGTGTGACTGAAAGCTTTAGAGGTTCGATTATCAGTCGATTCTCTTCATTGATTGCAAAAACCACCATCGAGAATGAAATAAAATAAAAAAGAAACATTCGGATGACAATGATCCTTTTTTTTTTATTCCACTCTAAAAATTTTTTTCATATATTTAGAATTAACAATCAAACGAGGCAAGCAAAGCCATATTAAAAATAAAAGTAAAAAAAAGGAAAAGAAAAGTAAAAGTAAATAGTAAATTTAATAGGAATACTTTTTGGTAAAAATCACGGGAACAAATAATTTTGTGAATAATTTCTGGCTAAATTTCCTTAAAATCTAGGTAAAGATGAAGGAAAAACGACAATCACTCGTTGGTTACAATGGTGCATCAGAAATTTAATGGCAAGATGAAGAGGAGAATAAAGAATAGCTTGTGTTCAAATTCGGCTGATATACCATACAGCACGTCGTGCAGCAATGTCTTTCAATGGCGACGACCTTAGTTTGGAGCGCCGATGTTGAGACTTAACAGGAATCCTTTAAAAATCAGAGAGATAGTGACACCTTTACTAAACCGATTAACTCCATGGCAAAATTAACCTGGTCCAGCGGAATAGCCCAGCAATGGTGAGAACTCTTTGAAAAAAAATATTGCAACAATTATTAATTGAAATAAAGAAGTTATGTGGTGGGATGAACTTTTAGGAATAAATAGGTTTCAGTCGCTCATTTCAATTTAAACAAAATTATAATTAATTACAATAATTAAGCATTTTATATTAATATTTGTTTTCATCGATTTTCATCTAACATCTCTCATCATTACGTTAGTTAGATTGGTTCTATTAGACGTAAGGATATTAATAGGGAATTTCAAGGGGACTGAAATTGCGACTGATAAAAATGATAGCGATAACGAAGCGTTTACAATGAAAACTGATCGTCCTTCTTCCTTCCTCACTTTCTTCCTTTCTTTATATTCAAACACCACAATATACCATTGTAAAGTTCTTTTTTTTTTTGAAATTTCCGTTTTCAAAATCTTTTTCTTTTCTAAAAATGCAATAACAATTTTCAATAAACATTTTATTGTCACAAAATAGCGGTCATTTTTTTTCATTTATCTATAAAAGTTCAAAAATATTAAAAAATTTTTTCTTTTTTTCAAAAATTTTTTACAATTTTTTTATTTTTTCTCTTCTCAGTAATCATCGATCAAAATTTAGAAGTATTAGTTCTTACTTCTAGTACTTTTAAATATAATAATTAATAATAATTTTTACTTAATAATTTCTAAATTATTAAAAATATCAAAAAAATAAATTTTTTTTTGATAATAAATTTCATTATTATTGAATATTAATAATAATTTCTCTTTTAGATTTTATAAATAATAAATTACTTTTGTATTTCCTATTTTTATAAAAGATCTGCCTGAAGTCTTCATATATTAATCATTTTCATTTACTATAAGAATTTCGCTTATTTGCAAAATTTTTCACGAAATTATATAATTTTTGAAGTTTCTAAAAGGATTTTAACAAAGCATCAGAAATTTTATACGTTATATTTGTCCCCGTTTGTCACCAGAAATCAGCTATATTTACCACAGGACACAATTCGGAGCAAAGCAAGCTGGATCTCGGATGAAACGATCAAGCTGTTCGACTACGCAGCCAGGAAATGCTTGCGTCCACAAACTCCGCAACGGCAGTGACGAGACAAAAAACGATACTTGAATGTAATGGTCTCGAATCTGGAGGCAGCAGCTCGAGCAAGTAATATAAAGTTATTTCGCGTATAATTATAATTCTGTAAAACAACGCGAAATAGTCAATGAAATGATATGTGTAACAAGGATAGCGAGAATCTTGTTCAATAAAGGTTCTCCCATCCAATGGCGAAGACTTTTTAAAAGTGTTTAAGGTTAACAATGGCGGACCACATAATATCCTGGATTTGGGCGCTTGGTACCACAATATTGCAACTGGGATTTAACAACGAAATAATCTCTAGAAATCGTAAGTTTAAGAAAATTCTCCGAAAAAGATGGTCTTCTTTACTATACATATTGCAAAAATGTTCACTGCATGGGAAAAGGACCAAATGCCATCTGGCGAACAATTCTGCTCTCAAGAAAAGTGATTGGGATGCATTTGCAATAACTATCGATGCTTACAACGTAATTGTGCGAAAATTTTAGCCTCCTTCCTCCTAAACTGATTCGTGCCAGTGCGCCATAACCATAGTTGGTGTTGACCAAATTTTCTGAGGAAAATACTGGAACATCGTTTCAAGCAGTGATATACCGTTCCATGCCTCATCGACTTTACCATTGCTGTTGATTCGATCGGTAAATTAGCGCTGTACTAAACCATGTAATGCATTGGTGTCCCAGCGAAGATAATTGGAATTATTAAAGAATTTTACCTGTGTATATCAGATTTCTATGTGCTTCAATCTTGCATTTTATCCTTTACAATTTTCAACTATGTGGTATGTGATGGGTTATTGGGTTAGTAACGATTGCTGGCACTCAAGAGGTGCATAAATCATAGAGCGTTGGAAGCGACCCAACTAATATAGGACTGAATTTGAATTTGAATCAATTTTAAGATATTTGATTATTATATCATATTGAAATATTGTATCGTGTCAGACCAGATAGTGAGTGACAGCATTAACGAAAATATATCAGTACAAATAAGAATTATTTTATATCAGTTTTATAGATCAAATGTTAATAATATCGCAATCTATATAAATTCATCAATAGTTCAAAAAGACTTAAACTTTAAATATCTCATATTTAGTGGCCAAGCGAAGGATTCCAGCAATTCCAGCAATTATAGATGTTTTTTTCATGTGGTAAAGGCCTACTTTGAAGTCGCCGAAACCAACCTCAATTAAGAATTCACATTTGTCTAGCTATATATGCACTATAGTACGAAAAATCCTACTAAGCGACTGCAAAAGAGGGTAAAAGACTTTAGGACGGGTACTTTTTGGTTCCATTTTCGCTTTTGTTGGTAGTGCTCGTGGAAATTTTACCTCTTTACACTAGCTAGCACTTATTAGAAATTTCACTCACTAGCACCATCAGAAATTTCTTTCTTTTGTACTCCACTCGCTCTTGTATAGCTTCCTTTTTTGCTTTCGTTTTATGTCATCAATGGTTCAAGAAGATTTAAACTTTAAATATGTTATGTAATTATCTCATTTTGATGAATCGCTCTTTTGATAAATCGCTATCGAATCGAATAATATTGGAAAAGTCCATCATTGTAGCGAGCCAAATTAGTAATGGTGCCACTTATTAGAAGAAGCAGATATAATAATAATAATAATAATAATAATAATAATAATAATAATAATAATAATAATAATAATAATAATAGTAGAAAGTGGATAAGATAATAATTAAAATTAAAATTGAAAATTCGAAATATTTTCAAAAAATTTTTTAAAAATAAATTTTTAAATATTTTTCTTTTCCTTTTTTTTATTTTAATTGATACTAAATTATTATTAATATTATTGTTACAAATAACAATTACTTTTTGCTGGAACGGCAAATGAATACTGGTCCAAACTAAAGGAATGTTTTCGAAAATCAGCTACTTCCACGTTAAGAAATGCTAATAGGAAGTGTATTAGTTGGATACTGGAAGCAACTATCCAACGGTCTGAAAAAGCTACCAAAGCACAAATGTCAGGACAAATATCAGCGGGACAAAAATCACTATCGGAGTTACATGGGCTCAAGAATGGAGGCGGCTGCTCGATTAGGCAACAATAGGAAACTATCGGGAATCGATCAGTGAAATGTTAAGGGACAGCAATGGCGTGCCGATCAAAAATATTAAGGACCGCCTCATAAGATGAAAAGAATTCTTTGAGGCCAAACTTAATCATGAAAAGCCATCTGTTGCCCCTGATGTAGCTGATGCGTTTACCGAACCATACGCTTGCAATTGCAAATCCCCAACAGAAAAAGAAAAAATATTTGTTATCCATAAGCTTAAGAACCAATAAGGCTCCGGGAGAAGATGGTCTTCGAGCTGAGCTTTTCAAATGTTGTCCATCGTCCTTTATAACACACCTTCAATAAATATACTCTCTGGTATGGGAAAAAGAAATATTACCAGATGATTGAAGCAAAGCAATTCTGCTCCCAATTCTCAAGAAAGGTGGTAGGACATACTGCGAAAATTATCGAGGAATCAGCCTACTAGACGTTTTAGCGAAAATTTTTGCTTCCCTTTTACTCAATAGACTTATGGAAGTACGAGACAGCTAATCAAGCTGGTTTCAAACCAGAGCGCGGTTGTGCTCACCAGATTCACGTTGAGAAGGGTGTTTGAACATCGCTTTAAATATTTGCAACCCACTGTCACGTATTTCATCGACTTTGCCTTTGATTCAATTGATAGAGCGGTGCTTTGGAGGGTGATGGAACGTGATGGCGTTCCAGAGAAAATCATTAGACTCATAAAGGCATTTTATGAGCGAAATAATCATCAGACTCCTTTGAAATAAGAACTGGTGTTCATCAAGGCTGCGTCCTTTCCTCTACAATATTCGACTATGCGATAGATCGGGTAATAGACCGGGTAATGGACACC